AAAACCTAAACTAACTAACTATTAATAACTATTAATTTGGTATTAATAGTAAAAATGGTCACACTTTACAATAAGGTTCATAAGTTAATGTTAATTTATGCATTTACTAACATGAACAAATAATGAACAATACATTTACCACTGTATTTGTTCATGTTAGTTAACGTTAGTTAATGAAAATACAGTTGTTCATTGTTAGTTCATGTTAACTCATGGTGCATTAACTAATGTTAACAAGCATGGACTTGGATGTTAATATTGCATTAGTAAATGTTCAATTATGATTAATAAATGCTGTACACGTTTTGTTAATGATTAGTTCATGTTAGTAAATGTATTAACTAATGAACCTTATTGTAAAGTGTTACCGTAAAAATAATAATAATAACTATTAATTAGTAGTTTGTTTAAGCTAAAACTCTTAAGGATTTGTTAAATAAATAAAATCTTATAAAAATTATTAAAAATAAAGTGTAACCTTAATAATTATAAACACAGTTCTGATTCATTATGATTATGGGGTTCATAAAAAGTGTTACCCTAAATCCTTATATAGCAGATATCAAATGTGGATGTTTTTTGTGAGATGAATGGACTGACGGAAAAATTACATTTCAGATGTCCCTATTAGGTTACCGTCTGTCTCGCTGAAACATTGTGGGACATTCTCCGTGCAGGTGGAGAGGTTACAGTATGTGCCCTAAAGTACAGGAACTCACACAGGGAGAAAAGAAACTGGACGCCGTGGCTCCGGAATGGCCGAACCGATGCTCAATACCTGGATGCGTTCTGACAAAGCCTGTTGTCGTGTGTTGGGTCTCTCTTTCCTCTCTTTCACCCAAAGCTTTCTCTTCTGCTTTTGGGGGTCCGTGGCCCTTCCCTCCCCAAGGACAGCTCTTAGTTGGGGGGGTGGTATGAGTGTATGAATGGCCCCAGAACTGTGGGCATCTCTCTGTTGGCCGCTGTAGGTTGTGTGAAAGAGAGAAGGGTCACTTCTGAACAGCCGAGGTGTCGGGTAACATCAGCTGTCAATCAGGATCTGGCCCTCAGCTAGAATGACCAAGCAGTGTCCGGCGACAGGTTACAAAAAAAAAAAACATGCAGGCGAATGACGGAGAATTGAGACAAAGAAACTGGTTTGCTTTGAAGAGACGGATTTCTGATTCCCTATAGGTGTGGTTTTGAACTCCAGCGAGAGTATTTTATCATTTGAATATTTTTTAATTGAGTCCCAAAAAAAAAGCAGAAATGCTGAAGGCTGATTTGTTATATTTTAAATATTTTTAATAGTAAATTAATTCATTATGATTTCATGAAAGCACAGATGGAAGATATTAATTCATTGCGAGGGATTTCTAATTACTTTGTCTGAAAAATATATTTGGCTCTAATTAATGGGACACGCTGCAGATGTTTTGCTGCATTTGGCTGGAAATGTGTTTGCTCTATAGGAATCCTAAAATGTTTCACATTTGGATTTATTTATTTATTTATTTATTTATTTATTTATTTATTTATTTATTTATTTATTTATTTATTTATTGTTCTGTATATGCAGTGTTTTTCAGATTAGCTATTTTATTAAGAACATTAAATTTGTAGTTTTATATTTATTGGATTAATTTGTGGTTTTCTGCTTTGTTTAAATTACTTTACATTACTTTTTATTTTGAGCTTTTGAGATTTCCATATGCTTTCAGAAAGTCAGAGCATTGTGAAAGAGATGCTTTTGATAACATTCCATTTGAGCACATGTAAAATGTTTTTTTAACCCTTTAACTGCCCCAGCCAGAAAAAAAAACTGTATTGCGTTTCTTAACTCATAATGACACTAGTAAACACACTCAATGCTTTTTTTTTTTTTCAACACATCCCATAATTTCTAAAAAATCAACCTCTACCAAATTGTTGATATGTCGGTTTATGGTAAAAGTACCAGAATTAATACACATACTATGAAAAATCTAAAAATATGAAGTGTTAGACCAATTTATTTAAAAACAACGAAAACACTAAGTCATCTTTATTTTTTGAAGTATGCCATAAAATATTTCAGATTCTCATTGTTTTAAAACCAAAATCAAGTGTAGTAGTGCAACAGGATTATGTTTGTTTGATTTTTTTGTAAACTAACAATGCTGTGTAATGCAAACCAATATTTAAAACAATCAAATATGCTCGACCATTTAACTGAGCAGGCAGTTAAATGGCTAAGCATCCAAACAAAAAAAAATTGTAGGGCATCTTCATCTTATTTTTAGCTGTATATTAGAATGTGTGGCGGTTCATTCCCCTTTGGTGACCCCTGATGCACAAAGGGACTAAGCCGAAGGAAAATGAATGAATGAATAAAATAGAATGTGTTCTGTTGACTGTCATACGTCTAAATGTATTCATCAAAATGACTATCATACATTTAATCACAGTATACAAAAACGGCATCAGTGTAGCAATTGTAAAATAACCAAAACAAACTTTTTAAAGGCACTTTATTTAGAACAGGATTAATGTTATGGCGTATTTAAGATTCAATGACTGTTCAAAAACTACTACTACACTGCAGGTTTTAACCATTTGTTTGCAAGATGTTTATTAGACAAAATTGTAATGATCACTTATTATTTATATACTGTAAGTTAAAGTCTGTAATTACATTGATTAAATTAAGCACATATGAAACATTAAAGTAGATAACTACTTGTATTTAATGCTTTCTACCTATATAAAATCACTCTATTGAATTGAATTTCACACGGACACCAAATTGGATCTCCAGTCATTGACCCACATTTATTATGACCTTAGAGGTGCCCAATTTGCCCTTGTGTTTTTCCTCTTTGAAATGTTCAGCGTGTGCGCATTGGGTAACCGCGCTGTAATGGATAGTGCAGAGAGCACGGAAATACATCTGACCTGTTTCTACAAGATTCAGAGATTTTTCCACTGCCGTATGTGTGTGTAAGTGTGTGTGTAAGTGTGTGTGTGTGTGTGTGTGTGTGTGTGGTTGTCGGCATGCCGTCTGATGTAATTCTATAAAAACTTTCCAAAAAGTATCCAGAAAATATCATTTATATGTAAAAATTCTACACTTTATTATTTATAACACTTTATTATTACACAAAATATTTTTTCATCTGTGAATATTATTGTTATAACTTACTGTGATTTTTGCTTTGCTGAAAACAAGTCTCACAAAAATGAAAACTTGTTTCTTTTTATGTTTTGTATTCAGCTAGTTTGACTTTTAATTTCTTATTATAAAGAGTTGCTTATTTATGTTGCACATTAAAGACTTTTAATCTTGATTAAAATACTTTTAATTGTTAACTAGATTTTTGTTTTGTTTTGTTATAAGTACTAAGTAGTTTGGATTAATGCTGTAGTAGAAAACATTTGAAGCTTTATGCTTTATTGTATTTACAATATATAACTCTTAAAAATATTTCAATGTAAAATAAAAAAGCCTATTTCTATATCATGTTCTAGCCTTAGTATGGTGAGGGTCCGTCTCTTTCTCTACAGGATATATGTGAACATTTGGTCGAAGCCGTGGGGTGATGGGTAGTCGGGTCACATTTACAATAGAAGGAAAACAGAAATGTGAATTATGCTTTATGTTTAGAGCTTTTGTAATGTCCTTTAAAGAGAGCGAGACTCATTTGCAGACCATTGACTCATTCATTGCGGTTTCACACTGAAAGACTTTAAAAGCATCATCTGTGCTCACACTTGACAGACTGTGAAAAAAATTATCTTTGTGTTACTGTTATGTATTACTGGCTATCAGGTGCTCTGAAGGTATCCAATAAAAGATGCATTTTGAAATTAAATTTAGACATTAGAAAATGTGATTTTCAAAAAGGACTGTATAAAAAGGATAATAAATCACAAATGTGGGTCTTTTGTTCTTTATAAGTTTACAATAACAATCAAAAAATTAATAATAAATCATGCAGTTTTGAATCCAGTGTAATGATTGCTGATTTGTTTTACGTTTTATTGGTCCCTGTTTTTGCACAAATGCTGCTCTTTTGTTTTTTATGTTTGCAAAAAATAATAATAATAAAAAACTGTTTATAATCCAGTGGAAAAACTGTGGGTTTGTTTTAATATTTTACGTTTTACACTGTTTTGGTCCCTGTTTCTGCAAAAATGGCTCTTTTGTTCTTTAATGTTTACAAAAATGTAACAATCAAAAAATTAATAATAAATCATGCAGTTTTGAATCCAGTGTAATGATTGCTGATTTGTTTTACGTTTTATTGGTCCCTGTTTCTGCACAAATGCTGCTCTTTTGTTTTTTATGTTTACAAAAAATCATAATAATAAAAAAATGTTTATATTCTAGTGAAATAACTGTGGATTTGTTATAATGATTTTTACATTATACACTTTTTTGGTCCCTGTTTCGCCACAAATTTGGCTCTTTTGTTTTTTATATGTTTACAAAAATTAATAAATAATAAAAAAAATAGTTTATAATCTAGCAAAATGACTTGATTTTTTATAATGTTTTTTACGTTTTACAGTTTTCTTTGTCCCTGTTTCTACACAAATGCATCTGTTTTGTTCTTTATATGTTTACAAAAATTAATAAATAATAATACAAAAAAACATAGTTTATTACCTAGTAAAGTGACTGTTGATTTGTTATAATGTTCTTTACGTATTTTTTATTTTTTTTTGGCCCCATTTTTTGCACAAATGTGGCTCTTTTGTTCTTTATATGTGTTTGCATGTAAAAAAAGAACATATAGTTTTTTAACCCATTTAATATATATATATATATATATATATTTATATATAAGTGCACCTTTTTAATCTTTTTAATATTATCCCTGTTTCTGCCGTTTTTAATCGTGGTTGTATGAGGATTGGTTTGGTTTAGTTGTGTGAAACTTTGAGCTGGATATAAATGTTAAATACAAAAATTCTAAATACTAAAATACTAGTTATAATAAGTTTAAAGTGTTTCATAATTTTGTACCCTGTTTCTGCAGCTTTTTGTTTTGGTGGTGTGGAATTTTGAGCTGTATATGGTCCCGCTGGTTCTCCTGATGCTGCTGGCCTGGAACTACATTCTCATTGCTTCAGGGAAGGACACAAGGCAGGGAGATGTGGTAAGTCTCACATCTACTGCATTTCAATACAACCCCTTCACTGTCACTATTCAACCTTTTTTTTTTTTTTTTTTTTTTTGAGGACATCTGTTTGAATTCTAAACATTTTCATCTCAATCGGCACTCATAAAAGTTAATAATTTACAGAACAGGTGGAAACTCAAGTATTTTGCACTCCAAGCTGTTTATTTAATTGAATATTTTAATTAAAGTGTCACCGCAATGTCAATCTGAAGAGGACTTTCTTTTATTTTTTTAAATCAAGCACAACACGTGTATCTTGAAAGTGCTTTCCAATGTAGTCCTAACTTTGTCATCTTTTGTGTGGTTTTAGACTGCTGTTTAAGTGAGTGTTTGTGAAAAAACAGCCATAAAGAGAGCTCACCTTGAAAATCATTCAAAGGAATTGATTTTATACCAGTGTAGATTTTTGAAAGTCATTTAATTGGCGTTTAAGATCTTGATGCAGTAATTGAACAAAAGCTTCAGGCTTGAATAAAACCATCACCAGCCCAAAGTAGATAGTAAATTAATTGTAGATCATTATTTCAGGGTGTACATAGGTTTTACCTAAGAATAGTGTCTTTATATATAAATATATCTGAATTATCTAGGATAGTAAATGGGACAAGCATATGAACTACATTTTTTTTGAGTGTCCTGAATATAAGCAATCAAAGATTCTCTGTGGGGGTCTTAGATATTTTTTTATTTTTTTAATCTTGTACCTTATGTGACACTCTTTGTTACTTTTGCAAGGAATTAAGAGCGTGAAACAAAGTTACAAGAACCGAAGGACCTCAAGAAAGTGTCTGTACAGTAATCATGTTGTCCTTTAGATGGCGACATTGTTTGCAAAAAAACTCACCAGCGCTCGGTCTGTGGGCTTATGTGTGTATTATTCATAGGCTATATCGAAATTATTTAGTTCTTTAGCACTGAATCCAAAGTAACTATTTTGTAATAAAGAAACAGCATGTAATAATGTGGGAGTTATTTTTTACTTAAATATGCTGTGGTGGTAAAATTATACTTATAGTACAATGTATTTATCTGATTTGCAGTTTCCAATAAAATACACATTATGTATTAGGTCTAATAAAATACCTTAACGTTAATTTTCCACAATTTCTAATTCTACAGTAGCTATGTAAAAAATAAATCACTTAAAATGCTAGGTTTCTTTGAATTTACAATGAATACTGTTTTAGTAAAACATATTTGTAAGACTTTAAAATAATGGTGCATTAGTTAATGCTAAGTAATGTATTTAGATACATAGACAAACAATAAACAATGCATTTATAAGAGCATTTATTCATCTTTGTTACCTTTAATTAATGGAAATACATTTTATTGTTAGTTCAACTAACTAACATCATTAATTAACTAATATAAAACAACTTTGGATTTTAATAATGCATTAGTAAATGCTGAAGTATGATTAATAAATGTTGTACATGATTATCTGTGCTCCACTCATGTTAATAAATACTTTTGGACCATAATTTTAATGTTATCAACATACAGTATACAATTTATATATAATCCCAGTGTTGGGTTGCAGCTAGAAGGGCATCCGCTGTGTAAAACGTGCTGGATAAGTTGTCGGTTCATTCCGCTGTGGCAACCCCTGACGAAAAAAGTGCCTATATATATAGGATTGGATGATGCATGATGATTCAGAGCAGGTTTTCTCGTTCTTTCATCGTTTTGAGCCATTTGGGTCAGACGTCAGGGATTCAGAAGTAGGTAATGGGTCAGAGGTGATACTGTCAGGACCTGTGAATTTAAAGCACATGAGAGGACTGGAGTCTGAGACAATGCCTTTAACCCGTTATTCCTCCCTCTACATCCCTACTGCTCTCCAACAAGCCATTGTTCTGCATTTTGACGACTGTAACCACAACACACGGGCTGGTGAGAGCAAGAGAGTTCAGGAACAGTAAACACACACACACATGCTTTTCATTAGCCTCAAACTCACTGATGAGCCTCAGCTTGGACAGTGTTTCCTTAACTGTGGATTTCAGAGGAAGGAATTTAGCTGTCTTTAAATGTGGGTGTAATTAATGTTACTTACTGTACAGTCATTCATTTTGTTCACTTATAGTTTTCATTAATATTGAAAGGGACAGGTAGAAGAGATATTGTATCTCATCGGGACTTACTTAAACTGATGAATTAAAAAATTGCTTAAAAAAAAAAAAAACATATATATATATATATATATTCATTCATTGTTTAGCTTAGTGCCTTTATTTATCAGGGGTTGCCACAGCAGACAGCAGAATGAACCACCAACTTAGCCAGCAGATGCCCTTCCAGCAGCAACCCAGTACTGGGAAACACTCATAAACTCTCACATTCACACACATACACTACGGCTAATTTAGTTTATTCAATTCACCTATAGCGCATGTCTTTGGACTTTGGGGGAAACCAGAGTGCCTGGAGGAAATAAATACGTGGAGAACATGCAAACTCCACAAAGAAATGCCAACTTGAACCAGCAACGTTCTTGCTGTGAGGCGATAGTTGTAACCACTGAGCAACCATGCCAAACCAAAGTAAACAGTTTGGAATAATAACACAAATTAAAATATGAAATTAACTTCACCTTATATATACTTTAAAAGCCTATTTTTGATTGTTTCTGTGTCCTCAATAATACATTCAGCTTCAGTTGTTATGAAATAATTAATCCTGATTTTTACATGTTTATGTGTTTAAATAAACATTAATAAACATTTAAATAAACTTTTGCATGGAACATCGATTTTCTGTATTATTTGTCATTTTGGTTATAGAAAATACTTTGCGTTTATCTTTAAATTCTGGTCAACTCTGGTCAGTTCTGTTACAGCAGTTATTAAAAGAAAGTCTTTATAGCATGTGATTCGCTTTAAGTGATGCCAATTCTTTCGGCAGAAAACTCTGGAAGACATTGAACCATACTGTATCATTATTCTTCTCTCATTAATTTATACAAAATGTTTAGGATATACACCAAAAGCAGTTATAATAATAATAATTTGTCAAGTCTGATGTCGAGATATTTTGGTAAATTTCGCAATCACTTAAAAAAAACAACAATAATATGATACAAATGCATAGCATTCTGTTTTAGACATATCGTGTGGCACAAAATGGTTAAAAATGTAAACTCTGGTATTGTCAACTATGTTACAAAGGGGTTTAAAAAGTTTAACAAATAATTTAAAAAACAATCAGTGAGAAAATCAAATGCTTCTCGTCATATTTAAGCATTTTGCTTTATTTTACATTAATAATGGATTTAGTTTACTGTAAATTATACATTTAAATTATAGGAACATTTCTCGCAGTTCTTGAATAATTCATAATTATATGACTTCAAAACCAATACTGAAATAATTGAACACAATTTCCACATCAGCACAATAGATATGAAATTCCAGTCAAGAGTAAGTTTCATGAATCAGGCTATCTGTCCAAATTCACTCTTAGGATAATGCTTTGATTGAAAAAAAAAATCTTCCAAAATCACAGCTGCAAAACTAAAGAAGTCAGCTTGGTCTGAGAGCTCTAAATGTCTCCAAAATTACGATCTGATATCATTTACATCATCCCAAATTGAATGACTCAAAAAAAAAAACAAGGTCACACTTTATTTTGATTGTCCGTTTGTTGATTTTAAGTTATATTACAATCTACATGACAACTAATTCTCTTTAGATTATAAGTTTTTGGGGTTAGGGTTAGTGTAAGTTGACATGTACAAAGTTTATTATAGTCAGTTAAATGTTAAAGGAGCAGTATCAACACATTAAGCTTACTGTCTATTAATACTGAAATGGACCATCAAACTGAAGTGTTACCAAAAAAAAAGCATCTTCAGATTTTTTGTTATTATTTTAAACAAAAAGTGGAAAAGGTTATTCAATAAAGGCGTATTTTTGCTCATATTTACCAAGTGTTGCACTATTAACGGAGAGCACTGTATAATATTGTATGTGTGCAGCTTATCTGAAAGCGACGTTTAGATAAACCCATGCTTTCTGAGTTTACCATTTTTGCTTTATTTTCATAAATGCACACTCAGAGGACTGATGTGCTTTTGAAAGGACTAATATTCCCCCTGTGGAAGTGTCCCATTCATGCTTTCATCACTACAGTAGAGATGCCAAGCTCCCAGTGCCTGGCAGGATGTCATTTTAGATAACTCTAACTGTAGCTCTGCGCTAAACCTGCTGACACATAAATGCAGGCTGCGGCGCTCCAACAGTCCAAGCTGTTTTCTTTTTTTTCTTTTTTTTTTTGACTGAGACAGACAGAAACGAGATACAGAGATGCTGGCCAGCCTACTCGGCAAGACTTTCTGTGAAACTTTTCCAATTGTTTGTATGACATCTGACTATCAGCATGGCGTGTTTTTGTAATGTGCTGCAGCACGTCTCCTACAGAACACAGAGGATGAGGGTCTACTCAAATGTGGTGTATGCACAGAGATAGAAAGTAAAAGTACGACTCACATGCACGGAAATATGCACTAAAGCACAGAAGTAGAACAGCTTTTTTATAGATTTTTCAGCCTGAGCTGCAATCAATTAAGGAACGAAAATATATTGACTATATAGAGTCACATTAAGTTATTTAGAAAATACTTCTTTATTATTTATTTGTTTGTTTTATATAGTTGAATATACATTTAATATACATTATACAATCTCCACGATGGTCTGCATTCTCTAGCCTCCGGTCCCTTTACTGCAGCTCTGCACATGAAGTTTGAGGAGAAACAGTTGTCCCCAACTGAGCCTAGTTTCTCTTGAGGTTTTTTCCTTCACTTGAATCAATTGGGGAAGTTTTATTCCACGCCACTGACCCCAATGGCTTGCTTGGTTTGGGATCTGTGGAGCTGCACATCGATGGATTCGGTTTTTAGTCTTTGAACTATCAGCAGTGAAAATTAAACCAACTGAACTAAACTGAACTTCAACTCTAAAAACTGGACTGAC